ACATGTTAGATGTCTCATGAACACTGATCAAGCAGAGAAAAAGAGAGAGAGAGAGAGAGAGAGAGAGAGAGAGAGAGAGAGAGAGAGAGAGAGAAATAATATTATGTTGTTCTTGGTAGTTAGATAAATATGGAGAGAGAGAGAAAAAGTAAAATTATGAAAAATTTCTAGGGAGATAATCTATGCTTTTTTTTTTACCCGGGAATGCGGTATTTTGCATTAACTCCCTTACATACAAATGAATACGATCATGTTCATGTACAAAGACGTCATGCGTCATAATGATTAAGTTGACATCAAGAAAAGTAAGAAAACCAAGACAGTAAAATCCTGACGTTGAAACCTGCCTGTGCAGACCGCAAGTGTTCTGTTTGTGGAAATTATAAAAAAAATATATTAAAAAAAAAAAAAATGAAGAAGGGCGCTTGAAAGTCAGAAGCGAATCCGTTATTACGAAGGTTTAAACCAACTGAGGAAAGGCAGACGTAGGTTGACTAACAGTAACAGTCTGGGACGGAAAGGAGGCTCTGTCTGGGGCAGACGGTGGTGGTTGTGGCAATTACAAACTGTGTGCTGTTATTTTCTTTACCCTTATCTCTATCTCTTTTTCAAGCTAGCAATATGCGGGAACTGTGAAGGTTTTCAACCACAAGGCCAATGTTTGCACATTCCATGTATTCTGCTCCAAGAAAAGAATTTTCAAGGGAGAAGATCTATGACATTTTTTTTCTAGCCGAGGAATGTGGAAGTTGTAGGTTGTCCCCCTTTAATACAGTTCTACATGTACTTGTAAAGATCTTGGAGTAACATCGACGACACGCAAGACTGGCATCTTCATATTACTCTTCTGCAAATAAATAAGTAAATAAATAAATACATAAATAAATACATAAATTAATAAATGATTGATTGAATGAATGAATGAATGAATGAAGGAATACGAAATATAATTCTTAAAAAGTATATATGAATAGTAATTTTCAAGAAAAGTCAAGGAATTTTCTCTTCACTTCAAGGAAACAGAGAAGTAATTGGGGGAGGGG